TAAAAATCTAAATTATATTTTATTAAATTAAAATAATTACAATATATTTTTCTACTTTGAGAATTAAAAATATAATTAAACTAAAACTGAAAATATTATAATACATTTTTGAACTCTTTTTTATAATATTTTTATCATTATTATATTTTTGGATTAATTATTTTTTTCCTAATTTTTTATAAAGTCAATTTTAATATTTAAAAGTATTTACATTTTGAATTCTGAAACTTTTTCTCTATTAACAAATTTAAAAACATAATATACTAAAAAAGTATTATAAATAATTATTTCATCCAAAATTTTAATAACATGATAAGTCATCAAATTCGTATATAAAACAAATTTAATGATGGATTAAAATAGAACAAAATTTATAAGAGACTATTTATTTTTATTTATGATGGATCAAAAGTGGAAATACATTTAAATTTATAATTTTATTTATGAAACATATTTAAATTTATAATTAACGAAAATAATGAAAATCTTAATATAATATGATACTTTTAGTAATGTATTTTTTTATAAATTTAAACTTACTTTTTTTAGTTTAGTTTTAAAATTTTATGTATTATTATTGTTAATTGATATACTAGAATAAATTTATATAAAAATAGTCTTTATCTTCAAAATTCATTTCTTCAAATACTATCTTTATATTTTTCTACTGTTTCTTTATAGTTAAGAAGGTCAGCATTTGTGCACACACTTAAATATAATATAAAGTAAAGAGTATTTGTTTATTCTATTTTATTTCCAATCTATAATTTGAGTTTTTAAAAATGTTTATTTCCAATCTATAATTTGACGAAATCACATAGAAATGTATTATATGTTATATTATAGAAATGAAATTAAGTTATACTTTGGAGAATATATATATATATATATATATATATATATATATATATATATAGTTTATATAATATATATATATATATATAATTTATTTAACATTAAAAATAGTTATATTTTTATTAATTTTATCATTATAATTTTCAAAGTATAATTTAATTTCATTTGTAATATAACATATAATAGCGGTTCCACATGGAACCGCTATTATATATTAACTTTTAAGAGCGGTTCGAGTGGAACCGCTATCATATCTCACCACATATTTCATTATGATTAATTAAATTTTCAAATAATCGATTATATTTGAAAATATATAATAGCTAGTTCCAAGTTAACTCGTTATTTAAACTATATTTTAGATAGTGGTTAACGTGGAACCGCTATTATATGCTCACTTTTAAGAGCGGTTCAGATGGAACCGCTATCATATATAGAATTGATTAATTTTTCAAATTATAGATTATAATTGATTAATTTCTCAAATATATATTAAAAAATTATAAATAAAAATATATATTAAATGAAAATTAAAAAAAATTATTTATCAATTATATATTATAAAAATTATAATTATATAATTAAAAAAATCTTATTTATAATTATTACTTTAAAAAAAATTATAACTATAAAATTAATGTTAAATAAATTATATTATATATATATATATATATATATTACATAAATTAAAATTACATATATGAACTCTAAATTAATTTTATATATAAAATTTACATAAATAAAAATAAAAATTATCAACTTTAATATATATATATATATATATATATATATATATATATATATATATATGTATGTATGTATGTATGTATGTATATTTAACTATTTAAAAAACTAATCGATTATTTCAAAAAGTAATCTATTAGTATTTTCATACTTCATTTTTTCATACTTGATGAGAATCAGTTATTTTTTTAAATAATTGATTAATTTTTAAATAATCAATTAGTTTTTCAAATATATATTAAATAATTATATATATTATATAAATTATATAAATTATATAAATTCTATATATTATATAAATTATATATATTATATAAATTATAAATATCAAGTTAAAAAAATTATATTTAAAATTATCACCTTAAAAAAATTATAATTATAAAATTAATAAAAATATAACTATTTTTAATGTTAAATAAATTATATATATTATATAAATTATATATATATATATTACATAAATTAAAATTACATATATGAACTCTAAATTAATTTTATATATAAAATTTACATAAATAAAAATAAAAATTATCAACTTAAAAATAAATTATATTTTAATATATATATATATATATATATATATATATATATATATTCTCCAAAGTATAAATAATTTTCATTTCTATAATATATATATATATATATATATATATATATATATTATTAACTATTTAAAAAACTAATCATTATTTCAAAAAGTAATCTATTAGTTTTTTATACTTCATTTTTTCATACTTGACGAGAATCAGTTATTTTTTTAAATAATTGATTAATTTTTAAATAATCAATTAGTTTTTCAAATATATATAATAATAATTATAAATAAAAAAATATATCAACTTAAAATTAAAAAAAATAATTATTTTTAAATTATATATATTATATAAATTATAAATATAAAGTTAAGAAAATTATATTTAAAATTATAACCTTAAAAAAATTATAATTATAAAATTAATAAAAATATAACTATTTTTAATATTAAATAAATTATATATATTATATAAATTCTATATATATATATATATATATATATATATATATATTACATAAATTAAAATTACATATATGAACTCTAAATTAATTTTATATATAAAATTTACATAAAAAAATAAAAATTATCAACTTAAAAATAAATTATATTTTAATATATATATATATATATATATATATATATATTCTTCAAAGTATAACTTAATTTCATTTCTATAATATAACATATAATACATTTCTATGTGATTTCTGTCAAATTATAGATTGGAAATAAACATTTTTAAAAACTCAAATTATAGATTGGAAATAAATCTATAAAATTTTAAAAATAATGTTATATTTTTAAAAACAAATATTAGAAAAAGGTTTTAAAACATGTATAAATTATATTTATATGTCCAAAATATTAAAGATATCTACATTTAAAAAAAATACTAAAAAATATTAAAAGTTATACTTTAAATTAATGAAAATATTTTAAAAAAGTTATATTTATTAAAGTATTAAAAAATATTTTGTAATATATAAGTTAAAAAAATTATCATTAAAGTTTTTAAAAATTATTAGTTTTGTAATTTATATACAATGAAAATAATATAATGGTATATTAGTATATAAATACATAAATATATAAATATATAAATATATAAATATATAAATATGTCAATATATAAATATATCAATATATCAACATTTAAATATATATTAAAATATATAAATATATTTGTATCTATAGATTTTATAAATATATAAAGATATAAATATATATATAGATATATATATATATATATATAAAGATATAAATATATAAAGATATAAATATATAAATATATAAATATATAAAGATATAAATAAATATATAAATATATTAATATATTAATATATTAATATATTAATATATAAATATATAAATATGTAAATATATCAATATATTAATATTTAAATATATATTAAAATATACAAATATATTTATATTTATAGATTTTATAAATTTATAAAGATATAAATATATATATATAAAGATATATATATATATATATATATATATATATATATAAAGATGTAAATATATAAAGATATAAAGATATACATATATTTATATATGTAAAGATATAAAGATATAAATATATATATTTAATAATTTGTACATTTAAATATAATTTATATATTTTTTTAAATCTTTTTCTAATATTTATTTTTAAAAATATAATATTATTTTTAAAATTTAATATTTAAATTTTTATTTTTTTTCAAATATATAAAGATATAAATGTATAAGGATATAAATAAATATATAAATATATAAATATATCAAAATATATATATATATATATAAATATAAATATATAAATATATTAATATATAAATATATCATTATATAAATATATAAATATATATATATATATATATATATATATATATATATATATATCAATATTATCCCCTCATATATTATTATACATTATTAGCATAATTTTAGTTTAATTAAAAATTAGAATACAAATATATTATATTATATTAATATACCATTATGTTATAATATTTGTAATTTATTTTTATAGTGTATAAATTACAAAACTAATAATTTGTATACTATACTATACTAATATATAATTTGTATACTATACAAATAGTATAATATATTATATTATAATATTATTAGTATACAAAACTAATATTTTTATATCTTTATATATAAATATATAAATATGGAAAGATATAAATATACGTAAAAATATAAAGATATAAATATATAAATATATATAAAAATATAAAGATATAAATATATAAATATATCAATATATAAATATATCAATATATAAATATATCAATATTTAAATATATCAATGTATTAATATTTAAATATATATTAAAATATATAAATATATTATTATTTATAAATTTTATATTTATATATTTATACTGGATATACATTTATTTGTATATAAATATAATTTATTTGTAAGTTATTATTAAAAAATCCTAAGTAGTTCAGTGGTTGAAGTTTCTACTTCTAACTCTAAGGTACGGGTTCGAATCCTAACAATGACAATAAACCTAATAATAATTTAAACTTCTAAAAAATATAATATAATTAAGAGTTAGGGGAAATAAATAATAATTATAATTAAAAATATAAATAAATAAAAATAATTAATTTTATTATTGATTTAGCGATCGATTTAAATCGGTCGCTATTTTGCGATCGAAATGAAAATCGGTCACTAACACATTAGCGACTTGGCTTTTTGCGACGACGCATTTCGGTCGCTAACTGATTAGTGACCGATTTTTTGACATTAGCGACCGATTTTTTCGATCTCTAAAATGTTTTTTTCTTGTAGTGATTGTATATGTTGGTGCTGCTTATATTAAATGGATGTTAAACTTAAAATGGTGTTGAGGACAGCCCTCCACCAGCAAGGTGGGTCGGTTCCTGCCTCAGCAGAAAATAAAAAAGTGATGAAGCTTGTTGGGATTCCAGAGTATGCCCATAAGATATGGAAGTTTAGTGGAATTGGGTAGAGGTCTGAAATGTCTGTATAGGTAGGTGATGCATGACCTTGTTGTAATATTTTTTTTTTAATGTTAGGTTTTATCTAAAGCTAGTTTTCGCCTTGTAGATATATTTGAACTTGTTACTCGAACGTCTGAAGCTCGCCCAAATTTGTGCTTTAGCAGGTTGTTTTGTTTTCTTTCATTTACTTTCTTTCTGTTGTATTTGGGTTGAAGTACATTTGTATTTCCATTAATTTTATTCTTTGTTGTCGATAAAAAAAAAAGAAATAAACAAGATGGGTGGAATGCTTAAATTGTCACAAAATCAATAAAATGAGTCATTACAGTAATTTAAGTTGATAAATTATAGTTGTTCATATACTAGAAGTCAAACATATAAATATTAGATAATACATCATTTAGTTTTTTTTATCTTAAATACATATTATAAACCTAGATTATGCTTAATAATACATGCATCTTGAAAAACTTTAGAGTGAAATTTTCATTACTTGAACAAGTTAATTTTATTATCTAATATAATTCTCATGTCATGATAATTTAGAAATGCACTATATTTATAAATACATAATCTTAAATGATTAGTCCTGAAAATAAATGTGATGACAACAACAGAAAAAAAATGAGCAAAGTAAATAAAACTTATTTAGAATGTGTATTATTCTTTCTAAATATATATATATATATATATATATATATATAATTTTATAAAATGGATAACTCATAAATTTATGTATTAATCTAACTTAAGTCCATTTAGGTAATGATATAAATAAATTAAACTAAAATTAGTCTGATTTTATATAGGTCATAAAATATTTTGCTTAATTTATTTTATTTTTAATTTTTTTGGATTAGTCCAGTCTATTTTAAAAGTTGTAATTCTGTTCTTGTAGTAAGAAAAAGAAATAATGATTGTTAAAAAGTTTCAATGCAATCGATTGATATTTAGGAATTGCAGAAGAACACACGACCCACCATTTTGTTATGAACACCACCGTTAATGCAATCACTTTGTGGTGGAGTTGATTGAAGCTAGAAATTAACATTGGGAATGGCTTCATCAAGCGTGGAAGCAGTGTTCATGAATTTGGGGATTGTAATGTTGCTTAAATTTTCTAACATTTTTTTAAACATGCGAATGTTGCACCATTCTTCGCCCATCACACCTTGCAGAGAAGATATTGTACGAAAACAACGTTGGGATGCAATGAGCGCGGAATGGTCCCTACCAATCCCGATCCACCCTAAACCCCATCTCTGCTAAGTTTTGTTGTGAAGCGCAGCATCACGTTAGATTGGTTCCTAAACGCATGCAACCAAAACATTATAGTCAGACCAACCTCTTAACAGGGTCAAAAGTAAATAATTATAGAATATTTTTTAAATTATCCATTTAAAAAACAATTCTTTTTTTACAATATTCCCCGATTATTAGTTTCATTTTGTTTTATAAAAATAATATTCTAATATTTATTTTATCTCTGTGAAAAAAAAATCTCTTTAAAAATAATATTATTCTCTTATGTTTGAATTGGTGAGAATTTTAGATAATTTGAATGGATTTATTTGATTACATGAAGTAAGAAAAAGATAATGGATTTGAAGGAATTTATTACAGTGATTTAATATAAAATAATTAAATAATAATATTTTTAATATAATGATCAAATATCATTATAAAATAGAATAATAAATTAAATAAAAATTAGAAGATGGAAAATAAAATAAATAAATTAAATAGAAATGAGAAGATGGGTGACGGTTGAGCCACAATATCTTCCATTTGTTTTTTCACTTCAACGTGAGGAATTTTCATTGCATGGGACCTCTAACCATCTCAATACAAATCTACCCAAATTTATAAATAGAAATAATATAATATCACTCTAGGTACCCATTCAAAACATCTGCATAAATAATAAATATATAAAAACAAACAAAACATTAAAGAAGTATGGTGCAAGTAAAGAGTAGGAAGCAAGAGCATGAGTATTATTTATGCGATGTAGGTAAAGTACCCATCATACCCCATGTAAATACGGCGTGATTTTAGGAGTTCTCATACTTAACGTATCGAAGCGATCCATTACTGACACGCCAAAACAACCTCGATTAGTATCTTGGTCCCTTCAGGATGGTTCAGCTGAGCTACTCATGTACCCATCTTTTGGACGAGGGACATTTATAACGAAGAAAACAGATTCAATGTATATGAAAAATATAATTTTAACTTCGTTCCAAAATCTTGACACGTTAAATTTGATAATATTTATCATAAATGGAATATCACTAAGAGAATTACCCGAATTTAAATGTGAATAAAAATTTCATATAAAATAAAAATTATAAAATTGAATAGATATAAGTGAAAAATCCCAATAAATCTCCTATTTTAAGATATTTTATTAAAGATAATATCATATTAAATTATTTTATTTCTCTTAATTAAACCTAAGAGTGGTGTAAACCTCATTCTAAAATCTTAACAATGACATCTGGTAAGTCTTCTACGTTCAACCGAATACATTATTATTTATGCCAAACGTGTGGAATTAACAAGGGTTTTATTGAAAACTATTGATATTTAAGGAATAAAATACAAAGTTTTCCTTTCCTAGTGCTTTTTTTTTTAATGTTGCTTGTCAATATTAGTAATTTAGAGTTCATCTAACCCACAAATATAAATATAATCTTTCGCTTAATACTGAAAATCTAAAGTTCAAGACTATCGAGATACAAGGTAGAAGAAATTAGTATTTTATTTAAAAATTTCACCTTCAACTAGCATGGTTAGATAGAAATTACGAAATTAAACATTATATAATTAAGAAAGATTTATAAATTTAATTAAAAAAATATGAAAAAAATATTATATTTTATGATAGGATTATTTTCTCATTTTGATTACATGAATTATACAAACATTAAATTTGAGAATTGTTTTTTCTAATAGATTATTCAACAACTTTTGTCGATTTTTACTTATATCAAATTTGAATTATCAAGTTGATGGAAGAGGGCTACTGTGGTCACATAGCTAATATGGATGCAGAGCTCTAGGCTATTGTGCAGAGCAGTTTCATCCCTAGGGTTTGAGATGCATGTTCATTCAGCCACCACCGTTCATTTCCAATTGCATGCAGATGAGCAGTTCCACCCCTTAGGAGCATTAATTAATCTGATCAGATCTTCGGTGACCAAACAATGGTAGTTGAACATCTCACATGGCTATAGAAACTAACAACTGTGTGTATGTGTGCAGATTGCCTTTAAAAAAGTAGGTTCTCTTCTTTCATTTGCTTTCACTTAATTCCTTACTGTACCACTAAACTTCATCATTCTTGAGTTAGAAAAAAAATCATTTAATATAATAATATTTTCGACCAAACCTATATTACAATAGGATTAACAAACTATTATACTGATATAATATATGAAATAATTTATTAAAAAATTAATAATTATTATCATATTTATGATAAAAAAAATAGCAACAATTAAACATATGTTGATCTGCCTTTAAAATAGAGTTTCATCTTATAATAATTTATATGACATAATTATTTTTATTTAACATGGTCGTTTGTTATAAAATGAAACTTTGAAAAATAGTATTAATAACATTTATAATATAATAAATAAGTTTACATTTTGGACACAGCTTACACCTAGATTTATAGGTTTTGTTGGTATTGTTGTTGCATTATAATTGAAGTTTTATCTTGATAATCTAGTCGAGATTTAATGAAATAATTTGTCATATTAATTATTGAGATAAACATCAATTTTGTTTGAAGAATAATTCCAATAACACATGTTTTTCCTAACATTTAAAAAAAAAAAAAATATATATATATATATATATATATATATATATAAATAAAGAGAATATATTTATGAGACTGAGGGTGTGTTTGGTAGAATAGAGAGGAAGGATAGAGAGTGAGAGAATTAATTTTGTGTGTCTGAAAAGGAAGAGAAGAGAAAAAGATATTTTCTATTCATATATTTGATTATCTTCGTTACTTATTATATCAATCAACTCACAGATATTTTAAATAATTTTACTAATTTCATAACGAAAAAGATGTGTTACTTTATATAAGGAAAAAAAAACATATTTTATTATTTTTAATTTTAAATTCTAAAATTATAAACTAAACAATCATTAAACAATTTTTTGCATTTTAAAAAATAAAAAATTTAAAATTAGTTTTAAAAACATTAAATTAACAAAATTTTATTTTTGTTTTCTGGGCTTATTTTTTTCTATGTTTTTGTTCAGTGTATTTGGTTGTGAAAATGAAATAAAATTAAATAGAGTTCCCACGCATCTGATTTTTGATATTATTGGGCTAGGTAGTCCACGTGTTAAGGTGTCTGATTCACATGGATCATTCATTTTCTAGGATTAAATCAAGAGGGCCATTTTTGATAAATTTTGGTTGAAAAGAGTATGACAAAGGCCTTGCACCATATTTGATTGAATGGTGTTGGCATGGTGTGTCAGATGGTGGTGAGGTTATTTATGATCCATGTGATCACCTCTTGTGGTAGCACCATCCCTTTCTTCCTAGGGGATTCACTGCTTCACACATTGTAAGTTTATGTTGTTTATAGCAAATGGAAACATCCTTATTTTTCCCATACACTTTTCCATAACTAACAATATTTTGGCTTATCCAAGAAAAAAAGTATTTCTTAAAAATTAAAGATCACCCGTTCTAAAGGATGTGTTAAAATTTAATAACAACAAAAATATTATAAAATTAATATAAATTTATTTATTATTATAAATTATTGTAAGAACAAAAATAATATTAATTATGGAAAAATAAGAATACAAATGCCCTAGAACACCTATATTTGCGCTGATAAGTTATAGCTGAGATAAAAAATTTGTAAATATAAGCTAATAACGCTGAGTAGGTGATCACAGATAAGTGGAGCGTGATGGGCGAATGAATTTGGAGAAAGGTTTGGTGGACACAATTTGAATGATGAGCTGTTCGACAAATAAAAAACTGACAGATCATTAAAATTACATAATAATTGTTAAAAAATTTATTTCAAAATGATTACTTCTTCTATCTTATTTTCTCAGTTCAGTTGAGTGTCAGTGGTATGGAAGAAGATAGAAATAGAAAGGGGTCTTCATGGTGCTGTAAATTTTTTATGTGTTGTCACTTTTTAATTGGTTTTGCATAAGGTGGGGTGCGTAGAGTGCTACAATAAAGGTGTATATGGATTAATTTAATAATTTTTATTATTAAATTAGATATCATGTTTCACATTATAAAAAATATATTTAATTGTGTTAAATTAGGTTTGATTAAAATAAAATACTTAGCTTAGATTGAATCATCGAGTTAATCAACTAATAAAATATACATATAATAAAGATGAAGGTGAGTTATTTCTTCCATACTAACCCTGACAAAAACAATTACTAACACATTACCATATCTCTCTCTACATGTATATATATGTATATATTTTAAGGGTACATGTGTCTCCTAGTTTCACAAATGTCAATAGCACCACCATCCTCAATCAATGTGAACCATGCAACTCGCAAATGGTTAACATGTTGAACATTTTGTTGAAGAATGCAATGTATTTATTGTCTTCATGCAAACCGTCCTTTGATTTATGGTTGTAATTATAACAAAACAGTGGTAGCTTTCTACATCCACCTAATTGTCCTCAGTATACAAATTTCTCAGCTTTATTTTATGAACTTATTTCCTTTTGCTAATATAGTAATCGCAATTGTGTATAAAATAGTCACATAGCTTAAAAATATACACTCAGGACAAACTTTATTATCTTTATCAGTGACCATATTAAAACCTACACTTTCTTCAATTCATAGGGTTAACTAATCCATATATGTTTAATCCACGTAATTTAATTTAAATAAATTGACTTAACTTTTGAATTTGAGTTAAATTTAATATAATTTAACGTGACTCTATTTTTTAACAATGATAACAAGTTTTATGTATTCAATTTAAATGTCGATTTAATGCAATATTCAATCAAGATTATTAAATAATAATAATAATTACATTATTATTAATTCATTTAATTATTCTATTGATTAAACATATAAATATTTTTAAATATTAAGCTATTTAATTATTAATCAATATAGTTTTTTAATATTTTCAAAATTAAAAAAATTATAAATTTTAATAAAAATATTTTAAAATATTACAATTCAATAAACTTAATTCAATTTAATTCGATGATTAAATTCGTTTAATTATGAAAAATATATAATAATTTAACTCAGTCTAACTCAATATTTTTTAATTAATTTGGATAAATGATATATAAAATTATTTAAAAGTATATATATATATATATACATATAATATTTTTATTCTCATAATTTTTGTAATTAATTATTATGAAAAGTAGATGTACACCCATAATATATATTGACTGGGCCAAGTTTATTAAATATGCATAAGATATTTATTTTATATTTATTCATTATTTTTAAATATGTTATTTATGTTGAATTTATTATTATTATTATTATTATATTGTTATTTTATATCTATTATTATTTTTTAAATCTTCTATAAAGAGATGCGATGAGGTAAAAAAAAATTCAGCCATGGAGTAAGAAGAAAAAAAATATAAAATATAGAAAGAGAAAAGTGATTTTTTTTTTAAATAAAAAAAGTGTTATTTTAAGGTTTGGTTTTCGTAATTACATGATAATACGTGAAAAACCATTTTTATTAATAAAATAATGATATTCATTATTGGATTAATATTTTGAGATGTTAGTGGGTGTCAAAATACAAATACGCAATATTAAATTCACCTTTCTTTATACATGTAAGAATAAAATAGAAATTATTTTGTATTTTGAAGAATATAAAAGAATACTAGGTCTTAAAAGATAATAGGTGTAAGTATTTTTCTTTCATTTTCTCCTCTTTATTTCCTTTCTTCTCTTGGCTAAGCATTTGTGTCGGAAGGATGATGAAAAGCCACTCTGTAGACGATAGAAATTTAAAAAATAGGAAAAAAAAAACTAAATAAAAAATAGAAATGAATGAAAAATTTATAATTATATATAATTTATTTGTTATGAGTAAAAATATCAATAAATACTTTTTTTTTTAAGTTCAAAAATTAATTTCTTTTACATGCACATATTAATTGTACAAAAATGACCGTGTTTATGTAGAATAATATATTTTGAATATTACATTAAAAGTGATGTATAATATTATTATATAGGTTGAAATTAAGAGGAGAATCAAAATTGTAGATCTGATTCAAGATAAGGGAAATTTTGAGAGTGAGATAAATATGTTTGACTTTAATCCCATTTCACGCTTCACAATTTTATAACGTGAACTTCACTTCTTGTTCTTCTCTTTTCTCATCAATTTATATGGTCAAACCACAATCTTCCTCTTAGACATAGCATAAGTCACGTACGGGAATAATTTTCACCCTTCTTTAATTTGATCAACTAAACTGTTAATAATATTTTCTGTGAAAGATATTTCACCAACTGTAAACAAACACCAAAGCTAACTCCTGACAAAGATAATTACTAACAGTTATGGCTTCGAACTGCCACACTTCACCTCATAACTTCCTTTACCAAAATCCCAGTATCACCACACTTACCCAAAGAATCGTTCTCTATATATGTTCCCATCTTTTGCACCCTCCTTCCTCACAACCCCAACAAAGAACTTCTCAATCAACAACATACCCTAAACAATGCTGCACCATTTCAACATGAACATCTTGTTCACGTTCCTCTTAATTGTCACCACAGCATGTTTCTACGTCACTGAGTTGAAACCTCGTGGGTCGATCATAATAGCGTCATGCATGGCCATGACAATGTTATACCACCTCCTCATGAATCGACCCTGCAAAGTTTACTTGGTGGACTTTGCATGCTTCAAGCCAAGCGTGGCGTGCCTTTGCTCCAAGGAAACGTTGCTGGACAGAGCCAAGCGCGTGGGGTTTCTCTCCGACGAGAACTACAAGCTGGTGACCAAGATTCTGGACAGGTCTGGGTTGGGACCGTGGACCTATGTCCCAGAGGGGTTGTTGGAGATTCCGCCGAAGCTAACGTTGGAAGAAGCGAGGAAGGAAACGGACACAGTGCTCTTCGGAGCTGTCGATGAGCTTTTGGAGAAAACTGGGATTGAGGCGAAGGACATAGGGATTCTTGTGGTGAACTGTTGCTTGTTCAATCCCACCCCGTCGCTCTCTGATTCCATTGTTAATCGCTACAAGCTTCGTGGGAACGTTTTGGCGTACAATCTCAGTGGCATGGGGTGCAGTGCAGGGGTTCTTGCTGTTGACTTTGCCAAACAGCTCCTTCAGGTTTTCTCTCTTATCATGCATGCTCATTAATTTCATGTCTTGTCTTTCTATTTTACCCACTTCATATATATCTTGAATTAGACATGTTTTTAATGGTAGTGAATGTTTGGTTTGAGTCTGATCATGTTAACATGTTAGACTCCAAAGTCAAACTAAACACACTTTTAATATATTTTTCATCTCATATAAGAGAGAAGAAGCGTATAGGAAAATATTAAATTTTGTACCCATATTCGACACTCATTAAAATATCCACAATTTAACATTTTGATTCTAAATTAAAAAAAAAAAATTCCCAGGTACTTCTTCCTTTTTCAGTGGATGTCAAACAACTATTTTGAGAATTTTGGGTGTCACTACTCTGATATATAATAAAGATGACATGGAAATATATATATATATATATATATATATATATATATATATATATATCAGTAAAAAGTGTGAATTTAACACACACACAAAAATAATTTTATATTAATTTCGATTATAAAGTGAGTTCACTACATTCTTTTTTTTTTTTTTAAAACGAATTTTCATTTTATAAATTATTGTAGGGGAAAATATTTAAATTTGAATTATAAGATATTTTAAAAATAATAACATAAAATAGACTTTAATTATGTTTATATTTAAGTCCACGTGAATATAAAAGAGAAGTACCTGTAATTTTTTTTTATAATATTCCTTCTAACAGGTACTCTACAATTAATTGAAAATAATTAAAAATTAGATAATTATGAAGAAATTCTTAAATAAGACGTGAAATCTACCATTTATAGAATTTGAAAACAAAAACATTAATAACAAGTGGTAAAATATTGTATGGGTTATTGTATTCCAAAATAATATGTGAATAATTTAACAATATAATTTTTTTTTATCATTCAATTTATGTATCACTTATTTTAAGTTCTTTTAAAAAAAAACTGTATTCTAAATCTAACTAATATAAAATAAAAATTTTACATACTCATATATATATATATATATATATATATATATATATATATATATATATATATATATATTATTTATCAAATGAGATCTTCACCTAATTTGTATCTCAGTTTTTAACACTTTAGGTCTAAAAAGATTCATCAAGAATGTGTGTATTCCAAGATTTGTAGGTGAAACTTTCCCAGTTTGCTTCCATTATTAACTTTTTAGATCTCATTTTCTTAAACTGTTTTTCCATCTTTTTCTTCTTTATGCTTCTCTTCACCTATTATGTCATTAACTACATCTCTGATCTCCGTTCTCTTCTCAGTAATTGGAATCACGACACGTTGTTGTGTCCTTTTGATTCTTCTGCAACACATTTTGTGTACTTGCACATTATATAGAAAATTACATGAATGAATTTCCATGCATCATGCATGCATAGCTTGGTATTATACATATATATATTTGAAAATCTTTTTATAGCATTTATATCTTCAAATTGATTGAAAGTGACATAAGAGAGAACAGAATGATAAACATCCCATATGATAAAGTAAAAAAAAAAAAAAAGTAAAATATACTGTACAGGTGCTCATAAATAACACCTATGTGGATCGGATGATAGTACCATGAGATAGAATGCCCTCATATATATACTAGCAAACATTGAAGTTTGATGGGTGATAATATATTAACAAAGGGAATACACATGTTTGATAATCACTTTTAATAATATAATAAAATAATAATAATATTACATTTTTCATTTTTAAGTTCATTACGATAATAGATAGTTTCAAAGATCATATACATCTTATTTTTCTCTCATAAATTTCTGTTTCATATTATTTTATATTTTAATAAACAAAACATTTCCAATAGCAATAAAATCAAACTCATGTTAGCAGAAGATGTGTCATAGAGAACACAAAATAAACGAGGTTTGTGTTTGAAGTCTAGTCTTGCTTGGTGCACCCATTAATGACGGGAGGGGAAAAGATGTGGTGCTACCGACCCCATCTCATTACCCATGAAAGCCCATAATTCAAAAGCATTTAAACCTTGTACCTGAACATTTAATACCCATTCGGGTTTCAATTTTTTGGCCGAAAGTGTTTTTCCATTTATATATTACTACCACACACACATGCTTGGAGGTCAGACATTTAATATAACAAAAAGCTGAGATATTCATTAAAGTTTAGATATTTTATAACAAAATATTATTAAATTAAATTGAAACCATTAAAATTTGTTTGTATTCAAAAAATGTATCTTTAATTGTTTATAAATGAAAATGGAGTATAATTTTGACATGGATCTTATAGTATACATGAATTTTTGTGTATATTACAAAAATACTTATATCTAGGGGTGATTTGTAATACTTGTATAGTATTTTGTGTCATCACCTACATGGGTCACATAGGTGGGGCTAGTTATGCAAAAAAAGAATATGAAAAGTGAGCCGTATGAGTAGTACGATGAAATTGAGTGGTCTGGATCAACCATTTTTACCATGGCAGACCCACTTGTTTTGAAGAGTATTTGCATGATCAGAGACCCGTTTAATGACGTAGACCCATCAAATTTATGGAAAACGGGTAACATTCAACGGATTTAAAGGTTGTTTGTCCGACAGAAGATTGATAGATAGAATGTGTTTAAATAACCGCTTTTTTAAAATTAAAAATATTATTCAATTTTTATTTTATATCACACAATTTTTGTTGTTGTTGTTGTTTTCATTGCAGGCACATCCGAACTCGTACGCGCTGGTTCTGAGCACGGAAAATGAGATCTCCAGCATGTACTGGGGAAACAATCCATCCATGCTCCTCGTGAACTGCCTCTTCCGCATGGGCGGCTCCGCCGCACTCCTCTCCAGTCACGCGTCGGACCGCCGCCGCTCAAAGTACCAGCTCCTCCACACGCTCCGGACGCACGTAGGCGCCGATGACAACAGCTACACCTGCGTCTTCCAGGCTGAGGATGAGGAGAACAAGGTGGGCGTGTCGCTCTCGAAAGAGCTGATGAACGTGGCACGCGACGCGCTGAAAGTCCACATCACCTCCCTCGGACCCCTGGTCCTTCCGCTCTCGGAAAAGATAAAGTTTTTGTCAAACCTGATCGAGAGGAAGGTGCTGAAGACGAAGATCGAGTCCTACATGCCGAACTTCAAGCTGGCGTTCGAGCACTTCTGCATCCACACTGGAGGGAGGGCTGTGCTGGATCGAATGCAGAAGAGTTTGGAGCTTGAAGACTGGCACATGGAACCTTCTAGAATGACGCTGTACAGGTTCGGGAACACTTCTTCGAGCTCCGTGTGGTACGAGTTGGCGTATTGTGAGGCGAAGGGGAGGGTGAAGAAGGGTGATAGGGTGTGGCAGATGGCGTTTGGGTCGGGGTTCAAGTGCAACACTGCGGTGTGGGTTGCCTTGAACACCATAGAAGCTGGGTCTTGCAGGAGCGCGTGGAGGGATGAAATTGGTAATTTTCCCGTGAAGATTGATCCTCTCCCTGTCAAGAGTAACAAATGATACATTAGAGTTAGGGTTTGGGTTCCTGGTTTATTCTGCTGTTAAGGATTTGGTTATGTATGTTCTGCTGCTACGGGAAGAAGAATTATGTAGTTGCTAATTCTCTAGAATGATTTCATGGCCAATCCCCTTTTGGTCTTTGCATGTACTATTCTTACTACTTCTAGAGACGGATCTTATAGTGTTATATCGTTTTTCTTAAACAATATTAATATTAATGTTCTCATTTATTTCTCTTGAACAATTTAATGGTGTGTTTATTGCCCATATAATTCCACGATCTAATCTGTTTGATTATATTTATGGAGTTAAATTCAATTCAATGACATAGTTAATGTAACTCCTACATGTTGTTAACGAATTTAATATGTTGGTTGTTGACGAAGATCCAATCCAATCGAAGATGATCAAAATAATAATAATAATAATAATAATTATTATTATTATTTAATTATTCTATTAATTAAATATATAGTTTGAAATATTTAATTATTTAATATTAAAGAATATAGTTTATTTTAAACATGCCTAACACGAGAAAAAGGGTAACATTTACAAAACGTGGAAAAATACTAAGAAAATCTTCGGATATTAAAAAGAATACAATAAAAGAAAAGAAAATATGTTTGGAGAATTGACCTACTATATATATATATATATATATTCTCTGAGATAATTTTGATTTGATATTAGTTGAAATAAATGATTTCGCAGCATTTTATTTATAATCATGACAATAAAAGAAGATCAAAATAATCAAACATAATATAATTAAAGATTACATAAAATAAAAAAGAAGATAAGAAAATAATCAAACATAAATATAATTAAATATTACATAAAATTTTAAAAAATGCTAAAAATCAAACATCAATATCATTAAATATTACATAAAATATTAGGATGTTACAATGCTCAATAATAATATTATTTGTTACTAAAAATATAAAAGAGAAATTCTATAAATAAGATAATACATTTATATATTCATTATTTCATTTTTATATATTTATATGTTCTTATATTATTATTGACTTGATAATCATATAATATTTTTAGGTGAACCTTTTTTTTTTCTCATATCTTACCATTTTGAATTTTTTTTTCCTCATTATTATCTACAATTTTATTAATACACATTAGATATTCTACTTCATAAATTTATTTTGTTAGAAATGACAAAATTTTTGTAAGAACATATCTAACGCTCAGTGAGATTAGGTAAAACTTTTCCTTAATAAATAAATCAAGAATCTAAATTCTTAAAATTATTTTAACAATTTTCTATAAAAGTTTGCATGTTATTAAATCATAGACATGTATGTATTCCAAATTCTTCATTGTTTGTCAGCATGAGTTAAATGAAGAATTTCTCTCTCTTTTTATGTAATTAGTCATTTTAATATTTTTCTTTTATTCTAGTGTTTTAAAAATTAATGTACAATGTATTATGCCATATCAGGAGGGGATACAGTACTTCCAATTTTCTTAAAATATATGCCTTGTTGCATCAAACAATTGCTCCAAATTTAGATTTGTTATAAATTTGTTATAATAAAACTTCAAAACAATTGCTCCAAACAAAACTACAATAAATGTATAACCTTGTTGCATCAATACCAAACTTTACCAAAGCATCTCAAAATAAAAATAAAGTCTAAGTTTTGTTACAAGAACCTCTTCTTCCTTCTCAAAAGCATGTTTACTTACAAGACATTTAACTCAAACAAGAAAACACAAATAAAACAGTGAAAATATATCTTATGCATATTCTAGATATATATAAGAAATCTCTATAGAACTAAACTTACAAATATCACATTTATCAATACATACTTAATCACAAACTCATCTAATTGACTTGGATGAATTAATGTTGATGCGCTCTTATTCCTAACTTCATGTGCTATAATTATATAAAACACACATATGAAGTGGACTAGGAGTACATGGACTAAATCAAAAGGACCCTCACAATCCATTCTAAATTAGAATGATTCTAACAAGAATCAATCAAGGTATTATAATTGGTCATGATTGTCACTTATCCCTTAGGTCAAGGTATAAGACGATGTACTAGGTCAAGGTATAAGATCATGGATACTCTTCACAACTTTTATCTACCCTCGATAAAACATAAATGAGTGAAACATGTATGTACAAATGCATAACACATATTAGTCATATATCAAACAACTAAGCATAACTAGGATTTCACATTTCTAAGCCATTGCATGAACTTCTCAAATGATCAAACATAACTTGGATTTTCACAATTCTATGTCACTACTTAGAATTCTCAAATATATAAGAATCTCACAAGTACATCAAGACAAATCACAATAACTTACATTATTATAACCCCCAAGCACTTTAGAACAAAACACAAATTCTCATAACACAACATCACATCCAAATAAGTAATTCACCCTTATATATCTCAATACACTTTCCGATACATATACACATGTAAGGTTTACATATGTAAAATGACCACAAAATATCTTAAGTTTTGGATAATATCTTACTTTCTCTATGCTTTTATGACCTTTGTTGGGTCTAAAAAGATACCTAGCATATACTAATTCTATCAAGTTTATTTTTACGATATTTTAAAGTTTATCTAATTATCTATAACTTATATGTTACCTCAATACCCATTTCAATTGTTTACTAGGCCTAAATTAAGAAAAATGTAAGTTTTCTAATTTTGACAACTTGACCTTTGCTCAATAAAATGTCATGTATCAGAGTTCTACAAAATATTTTCATTAACACTTTTTGTTAGATAACATCTCAGGTACAATTCAATGAAAAAATATGTCCACTCTCAATTCTTATAAGCATATATATGTGAGACATTTTCACTCTCTCACTCAACTCACATGAAACACTCCAAAATACAAATCACTAATGTAATAGTCACTCTTACGATATTTCCTTAGCATTAGAAACTAAACAAGTGTAGACTGAGAAAGGAGAAAACCGAAATGTTTAACATAGGATTTAGCTTTAAAAGTGTTCAACTTACTAGTAACTTTATCTTTCTTTAACACTTTATTTTATTTTATTATGTACACTACATCACTTGCAATTTTATTCTCTAAGTCTAATTAAATAATTTAATTAAACCAAATAAATAACTATATTATATTTTTATTCTTTTTTTTAATAAGAGGTTACAAGTTCTTTGATGAATCTCATCCATTGAAGAATGATAATTATTTTGTAAATTTTCAAATTATAATCATTTAATGGTTCATATAGTTACTTGTCCATTAAAATAGAAAGTAAAAAACAAATCATGTGGAAGGTTCCATTCAAACTTATTTCCTTGAAAATATGTCTACGTTTGCTTCATATTATTATTCATATGATATTCTCAAGAACAAGGCTACCAAGAAATAATAAAGAAAAAAGTTCTTTTATTGATCCTCCACTATCAATTGTCAATTATCTTGATCAACCTAATTAGAACATGTGTGACTTTTACATTGAGTGAAAGGGATAAGGAAGTTACACATGATAAAGTGGATTAGGTTTGATGGGTTGATTCACTAGCTTGTCTCAATTGGCAGGTCGAGTTAATAGTTTTAACTCATCAATCTGTCTTATCCTGCTTCATCTAACTCGTAACTTAGCATATCAAAAGTGAGGTGAGATAGACTGACTTGTTGACCCTTTTCTTTTAATATATATATATATATATATATATATATATATATATATATAATAAATTAAGTATTATGATCATTTTTGTTATATTATTTAAATATACAAATATACTATAATATTTATAATTTAAATCATAATTACAACAAATTAAATATAAAAATATTGATTATAATTAAGTATTTTAAAAATGTAAATGTAACAATTTTTTTCAAGTATCCAATTAAATTATTAATTAATGAACAAAGACCTAAAATATAAATTTTTTATATAAAATATTTCCATGTCAATCCGCCAATCCATTCTATAGTATGACAAGGTAGGGTCTACAATTCGTCTTAACTATGATAAAGTATCCTGCATCACCTAATTTTTGACAAGTAAAAAATGAGGCAAATTGACCCATTTTGTCACCTTATACATGTGCATGCCATTTTAAATTATCCAAAGATGGTTTGATGGAGGACCATCTAGGCCATAACACTAGGCATTAACCAAAGCCCAAAGAACCATCTAGGCCTAATATATTGGGCCTCAAGTAAAATCCTAGAGGACCATATAGGTCGCAATACATTGGGTTTCAAACAAGGCTCATGGCTAGGAGGATACAAGAGGAGGAATCTTTTTCAAGAATACTCATCCTTTGGAGTCTCTCTTATTAAAATCTTATTCTACCTTTTACTTTGTATAAAATAGTAAAAACATTTTTTTTCTTTTTGAAAGGAATGCTTGATCAAGACTACGATCTAGCCATCAGGCCACTGTCAGAGCCACACAAGGACACAACCCAAGAAGCTTGACACATGGGGAGAACCGCGACCACTCCTTTCACTTACCTCACTTGGTTGCACAATATGGAAACTCCTTGGTATATAAACATTGGAAAACGTCTTCACCACAACAATGTTGGACTTGAAGGAGATGAAATATTAAAGAGAGGAGCAAGTAAGAACATTTGATGGAACAAAAGGGCTGCACCGTTTTCCCTCACATTTTCGGCCAAAGAAAGTCAATTCCAAGCTAGAAAGTTCAAACTTCAATTCTTGGTTGCAACTATGGGAAGCATGAGCCTATATAAACTCATAAATGTAATTAAAAGTGGGCTAGGTGGGATTTGAAGTTAGGGAATTCAATCATCACGTGTATAGGGTCAAATTAGTCCCACATCCCTAGGTGAGTGAGTGGACGAGAGGGGAAAAACGATATATATGACTTCTTGTGTAGCTTTTTGAAGCACATTTGAATGAAGTCAAATGTATGTGTGAAACTTGCATATTTTGCTTGTACCCCGAATTGACTTTTCTTCGAGTGTCTTCGAAGATTTCTTTCTCCTATTGTTCTAACAAGGAACCTTTCTTGGAAGAGTTAGTGCCAAGTTTCTTTAGAAACTTAAGAAAGAATTTTGGTTCACCTTGGGTGCTCAAGGTGTAAGGTTTTCGGCATCATCCATGGTGGAAGGAGGAAGAATATTTCCATCATGGTTCCTTACTTGAAGTATGTTGCTCTTGCAAGGCCGAATAACTTTCACAGGACCACACAAACTTCCAAATCTTTGAGTATGCTGGCTTGGTCACTCTCCCTTGATAGATCAGGATACGTTGGTAATCTAGTAGGCGGCCGAGTGTCCGAGATGCACCGAAAAGAAGGGGGTGGCTGTAAGAGACACTCTAACGCTCAAGTCAGTAGGATTATATGGGGATATAGGAGAGAGTGAATGAATAGTATCCATACATTGGAATTCTTGTCTATTTATAGTACTTGAGATGGGTCTTAGCCTTGTATTGGTTATTCTTCTTCCTTAGAATACCTGGCGTCACATGACTATAATATGCGCAACATAATCTGTATGGCTATAGTGATGTGGTCGTATGCCTTGTACGCTTACGTGATGTGTTTGTATGCTTATGGTACACTTGCTCCCTGAGTTCCGAGGAATTCTGAATGACGAAGGGATCTACTATACTCATCCTTCAACTAGTGTACTTTGGGTGTTGATGCTCATTCGTTTGTATGGCCTGGGGCTATCGGGAAGCCTAAAGGGTTATTCTAGAACCTTCTTGGATCATAGAGGTAAGAAAAGGTGTGATGTGACATCTTTGGCTCGCAATTTCCACCCATCAGATTGGTGGGATTTGATGGTTGGGGGTTTTTTACGCTTCAATTTGTGTTCCTTTCTCGTATAAATACTTGATGGGTCTCACTTCTAGGACCACATGTTCTTCAACTCTGTGTTTCGAGTACAACTTAGCAATTTCTGCTAGTTAGGTCAAGCTTTGTTTTTCAGGTTCAACTAATGAGCATTATATGTGTTAGGCGAGTAATGTCTTTCATTTTCTCTTCTGCCACTGAGAGTTTCATAGGTGGGCAAGTTGGTCGGGGTGCTCGAGGGGTTGGTCACTGACATAGCGGAGATGAGATCAATAGTAGCAAGTCGACAAAGATTGTTACTGTCAAATTTAAGGGGCGGGTTAATGTTGTTGGCACAAATTCTCTCAATGAGAGCATTCAAGCCGCCATGGAACGGGCAAAACCAGCTTGGTTGTTAAAGGGCGGTTACCATTGGGTGGACTCACGTGTGAAGGAATACTTCTCGAAGTATTGTTAGGTGCCAGTGCTGACTTCCTTTGCTACGAACCAACACATGGTCGATAATGACCATGGGGGATGATATTGTTTCGCTAAGTAGGTGCAGTGCAATTTATAATGTGTGTCATGGTCGAGAAGGATGGTCTGAAGATTTCTTCTATATGTATGTGTGTCTTGTTAAGGACCTACACGTGTGGTTTCCTTTTAATGAATTTACTATGGGTGTGCTCAAAGTTTTGAACATGGCGCCTACCCAACTTCATCCAAATAGCTGGGTCGCCCTTCAAGCATTCAGGTTGGTATGTAAGGTTTTACATTTGGAGCCCATAGTCGTGGTGTTCCTGTACCATTTCATCACCCACCCTAGAGACCTTGTGGGTTGGTTTTCCCTTATTAGTCAGCCTTCAAATACCTTATTTGAGGCTTATACCTCTTCCTTCAAGATCTTCAAAAAGAGGTTCTTCAACGTGCAAGTGGAGGAGGGTGGTCGACGTTATTTCTACAATGGTAGAGGACTAACATGTCAGCCTCAGACCTCAGTTTCTCAAGGTTCTTGATAGGCTCCGCCGCTGACTTCCCACCTGGAAGCTTCTTGACACATATTTATCTCAACACCATTAGACCGACATCTTTGTTAATGTGTTGCTCCTTATGAATTACATTCCATCTCTTATTGTTGACTGTGCTAAATTTTTGTTTTCATACAGATATCATCAACATCATCTTTCCAATGAGCAAGGGTCTTTTCCGCCAACTGTGGAAGTAAAACACCCCTCAGCCTGAGAAAGAACAAGATGCTTCAACAAGTGGGGGCACTGTCGTTGAGTCCTTGGTCGGGCAGGGACCTTAACTTGCACCCGTTTTGCCACCAACTAACAAGTGAAAGCATAAGAAGTGGGAGGGCAAGCATCATGGTGGCAGGGAGTCCCCCCGGGAATGCTCTCATAAAACGCTTCCGGTTCTTGGGAAAAGATTTTGACTACACCAAGTTCCTTGAGGCAACTTACATGTTTCCTCCAAGGTTAATATCTCCTTGACGATCAACGAGCAATAGATTTATAACTTTGTGATCCCCCCAAACTGTTCAATGCATTCATGAACCTTGAAACACGCATTTCGCTCATAGGCAAGCACGTGTATGAAGACTTAATAGGGTCAAACAAGTCGAAGCTAGCGAGGGTGAAACAGAAGTTGGCTAACTCTCGCGTGTCTCTTAACCAATCATTGGAATTAAATTTCTCTCTTAATGAGAAGATTCAAAGACTTTTTAAGAAGGTGCAAGAGCTGGAAGAGAAGTTGGCTACGACTTTGTCTGAAAGGGGCGAATGGTGTACCTAGTGCCTTCATGCTGAGGAGTGCGAGGCGATTTTGAGGGAGCAACTGAGCTTGATCGAACAGAATTTAATCAAGATGACGTGGTTTGCGATGAGGAGGTTGAAAAGAGGGAGGTCGTGGAAAGAAAAAGGGATGAAGGAGCTAAAACTTTATGTGATGGGGGAACACATAGAAGGTTTTAAGAAGGTGCTCTGTCATACCAACCTACTTTTTGGGACGCTTTTGGACAATGATGTTCATTTGGATGTCAACAAAGATGTTCATCAAGACAACTTAGTGCCTTTGGATGACATTTCGGATGAAGTCGAGCCTCAAGCCGCAACCGAAGTACACTCATTAGATGAATGATTGTTTTGATTGTAATTGTTGTAATCTCTTTTGTTTTGACCAAGGTGCCCGTGGTGGCACCCAATTTTTGTAATGGAATATTGTTTTTTAATGAATTAGCTTTTTGTTATATTTTTGCTTATTTTGGGGTGTAGCCCCTGGTTGAATGGTGTGTTCCTTGTTATTTTTTATTAATTCAGGTGGGATTACTCTTGGTTAAATGATGCTACCTAGGTCGAGGTTTGTGTTGTGTGACTACTTAATGAACATTGTGGCACGTATTCGGGAGGGATTGCCCCAAATTGGGGCAAGCATCCTAGACTGATAAGTGGGAGACAGATTTGTAAAAAGTAATCTATTAAGCGCCTCGTTAAAACCTTCTCTGGTAAAACCCTCCTTAGGGGAAAAAGCCGGGGGAGGAATAAGAGTACACATAAATTTCAAGTTATCATCGAGTTCAACTACAATAAAATTTCAACAATTGCATGTTCCATGTTCTAGGGATGGGGTCGCTAGAGAGATGCTCTAGCCAATATGCACCATTGTGCCGAGATTATGAGATTCAGAAGGGCCTTTCCCATATGGGTGCGACCTTTCTTTCCCCCAGATTTTTTTCTCGCACAACTTTTCATTCGCAATACCATGTCACCTTCTCTAAAAGATCTTAGCCTTACCTTTGTCGAATATTTCCTTGCTTCTCTATCCTTCACAACCATATCCCAGATTTGTGCCCTGTTTCTTGCTTCCTCGAGCAGGCCGAGACTTGCTTTCATTCACTCCTTATTTTCGCCCATGTTTCATCTGCTTCTCGGGGTTGGTTCGCCAACCTCGACCGAGATCATTGCATCCACGCCATAGACAAGGTTGTATGGTGTCTCTTGTGTCGAGGACTGGGGTGTGCACTGATATGCCCATAGTTCTTCTATTAACTCCTCGACCCATTGCCCTTTTTTTGGTCTCAATCTCTTCTTCAATTATGCCATGATCACCTTTATTTGTAGCCTCCGCTTGACCGTTGGCTGATAGGTATCTAGTTTGCATCACTTTTAATGGTGCTTTGTTTGAGTTTTCTAGTTTATTTGTGTTAGAATTCCCCTTAATTCCAATTGTTTTCCTTCATTCCACACATGTTATTCGGGTGTCTCAGTTTTGCAGGAATAGCTTTGTTATAGGTTTATAAACTTGGAAACGAGAGGCATTTGATGAAGCATTGGATGGATAAAAATGAGTTCAAGCCACTAAAAGCGCAAAAATAAAACCATATCAACTCTTGGATTGCACTGTAGAAGAAAAGATACATAGAAAAAGAACACTTTAGAACCTTAAAACATTGTCAAAGAGCATTTTGGTGAAGTTAAGAGAAATCACTTCCAGTGGGTTTTTCCCACTGGTCGTGATCCTTGCTGCCTGGAAGGGAAATTGAGCATGTTTGGGCCCCTGTCACGATCCATTGACAGTGGGGTTTTCCTACTGCCAGTGGATTCTGCACGTTCTGCATTTTCCCTTAATTAGAGAAGCGGTTTCTGAGCATAAAAAGATATAAAAAAAAAAAACGAGCAAGAAAAGGGGAAGAGAGTTTTTTTTTTCAAAAGGAAATTGAAGAAGACCATGAAGTAAATAGTGAGAACTTCTCTTCTATTTTCTAACTCCCTGTCTTATTTTTGCTTTTCTCTTATGTTGGGGTTTGATTTATTGTATTGTTGCATTGTAATCATCTTTTCTATGGTACACTAAATCTCATTCTTGGGATTAGGGGGAATATGTTTATGCATCAAATTTGAATACTTTGAATTTCTCTGTTATTGGATTTTTGTTTTCTATTAATTTCCATGAGAATCTAAAGCTTCTAATGGTTTAGAGATAAGGTTAGATGATTTTAAATAATATGGATGATTGAGAGATTGATATATCGTTAGAAAAACATGGAATTGAACCTAGGGATTTGGGTTACGAAAGTAAATAAAACTCTTTGAGGGGTAATTGGATTTTCATAAAGCGTAAAGGATCTACTTAACGAATTGAATGTGGTTCTTCGGTAATTAGGTACGTTAGTGGGGTTTCGAGAGGAGTACATTAATCAGTTAAGGAAAATTCACCTTAGAAACAGAAGTTAAATAATGGGGAAACGAATTGTTTTAAATTTGGTACATGACATATGAGCTTACCGACTCCTAAGAAAGTTTTTTCTTTGAGTCTCTTGTCAATAGTTTTTGGTTTTCTATTCATTTTGCAAAATATTTTGTTTCAAACGATTTGTCTAGATAATTAGATCACTGTGAACCAGTACTTGAGCACAATCTCTGAGGGAACAATAATTTTTATTACGCGATACCCTGTTCACTTGCGAAATGGGTATCAGTGGCTTATGAGTGCTCCATCAAACTTTTGGTATGCCAAATGCCTAAGCTCTTATAGAAGTTGACTAACCCTCTATCAGTAAATTGGTGGTTGTTGTCCGTAACAATCGTGTGAGGTATGCCAAAGCGACACACAATGTTCTTCAACCTTTGGACTTGTTACGCCATGATAGTTGCTACTAGTTTGGCCTCTACCCCACTTCGTGAAATAATCTATCACTAGGATGACTCCTAGCGGGTGGGAATGGGCCCATGATGCATATCCCCCATTTTGCAAAGGGTCATGGTGACGAAACCCCATGCAACTATTTCGGGAACGTGTGGGACAAATTGTCGTGTCGTGACATTGGTCGCACTTCTTAACGTACTCATAATATTCCTTTTGCGTAGTGGGCTAAAAATACCCCACCCATAATATCATTGCTGCCATTGTTTGCGTTCTAAAATGCATACCACAAACCTCATTGTGCAGTTCATTTAAGAGGTACTTTGTTTGTTGTAGCGATACACATTTTTGCATTGGTGTGGCGAAGCCTTGTCTATATAACTCTATGTTGAGGAGCACGTACCTCGCAGAGAGTCTCTTTATCCTTTAGGACTCCAAGGCATCATCCAGTAGAGTCTCATCTCGCAAATAGACCATTATTGGGGTCATCCATGTGGATCCGACGATGGAAGTCAGGCATTCGCTCTTTTCCACTAATGGTTATGTCAAGTTAATGTGTAACCCTACCTTTTGTGCCAACCAACTTGGAGAGGAGGTTTGCACGGGCGTTGTATTCTGGCTTGATGTGCACCACTTTACTATCTAGGAAACCATCAAGCAGTTCTACGATGTAGTGATAGTATTACAACAATAAGGGATCCTTGACCACGAAGTTTCTGGACACATGGCTAATAGTTGACTAAGAGTCTATTTTGCACACTATCTTAGTTGCCCCCATCTCTTTTTCCAGTTCTAACCCTACTATAAGAGTCTCATATTTCACTTAGTTGTTTGACGTTTTGAAGTTGAATTGCAGGGACTATTAGATCAACAAATTTTCTAGTCCCTCTAATGCTATCCCAACACCTCTTCCTTTATAGCTAGATGAACCATCCGTGTGAAACATCCACCATTTTTCTTCCTTTGTTGCTTCCAACCTTAGCTCGTTAATGAAGTTAGCCAACCACTAGCCTTTAATTGATCCTCTTAGCTTGAACAGTAAACTGAATTTGGATAGCTTTATAGACCACGTGATCATGCGCCTGATAAGTTTAGGCTATTTTAGCATCTTGGAGATCAGGTAATCGGTTTGAACTATGACGTGGTTACTCTAGAAGTATTTTCGTAATCTCCTAGCAGTTGTTACAACTACCAACGCAGTCGTTACAACTACCAATGCAGTCATTACAACTGCCAACATATCCTTTTCTATCACCTGATTCTATGTCTTGGCATCTTGCAAAACATGGCTCGTGTAGTAGATAGGTTTTTGTTCGCCTTACTGTTCTTTGATTAATACGACATTAATGGTTGTTTCTGACAACGTAATGTACACCGCAAGTAGTGTGTCGACAATTGGCTTGTGCAAGATTGGTGGTGATGACAAGAACTCCTTGATGTTCCCAAATGTTGAATAGTATTACTCATCCCAACGAAACATTATTTCTTTTTTCATCAGTCAGATGATCGGCCTTGTCCAGTTGGCCAACTTCGGTACGAATTGAGAGAGGGACGTGAGTCTTCACATTAGTTGTTGCACCTCTTCACATTTTTTGGGCTCCTCATTTCTATTGTTGCTTGACATTTATCTTGGTTTGCCCCTATGCCCCTGTAAGTTACCATAAAACCCAAAAATTTACCTCCTTCCACCCCGAAGACACACTTCTTGGGATTGAGGCGCATATTAAATTTCTTCAAATCTATTAAGACTTCGACCAGTTCAGTGAGGTGTTGGTGGTATGTGTTCGATTTCACCACCATGTCATCAATATACACCTCCATATTTCTGTCGATTAGCTCTCGAAACACCTTATTCACCAATCTTTGATATGTCTCTTCTGCATTCTTGAGGCCAAACGACATAACTTGGTAGCAGTAATTGACTGATGGGATCATGAAGGCCGTTTTCTCCATATCTCTCGGGTGTATGCGGATCTGATTATATCTCAAGTATGCGTCCAAGAATGATAGCATTCGGTGTCCAACTGCATCGTCTACCAAACGGTCATTGTTAGGTAGGGGGTAAGCATCTTTGGGGCAGACCTTGTTTTGGTCCTTATAATCGGTGAACATGCATCATTTCCCGTTCGGTTTCTTAACCAGCACCACGTTAGTCAGCCATGTGGTGTATTGGGCTTCTCTTATGAAACCGACTTCCAAGAGCTTGTGGATTTCACCTTTTGTTGCTCGTTGTCTTTCCTCCCTTAACCTTCTTTTTCTCTGCATGATAGGCCTTGCTTCTCTACACACACAGAGCTGATGACACATGACTTGTGGGTCTATTCCCGACATATCGGTAGCCATCCAGGCAAACAGGTATGCATTCTCTCTAAGGAGATTTGCGAGTTGGTGATACTCTTCGCAACCGAGTGACAACCTCATTTGGGTGTTCTTCCCCTCTTCCCCCAGTTGCAATGAGGTTTTTTCCTCTCTAGGATTGACTCTATTATCATTGTGTCGGCGTGGGTCTAGATCTGTGAAAATGTTGGGGTTGTTTCTCTTATTACGTAGGATCGTCATCACGTTGGCAGATTTTTAGGCTTGCCACATAACTTTCTTGGATGGCCCTTTGATCTGCATGCAACATGACTATTTCCCTTGATGATGTGGAGAACTTCATGGCTAGATGTGGAGTGGAGACTATCGCTCCAAGTGAGAGGGTTTTCCTAGTAGGATGTTGTAGGAGGCGGACACGTCCACGATAAGACCTATCCAAATTTCGTGTACAGGTCTATATACCCCTTGGTGTCCATTCTTTCACTTGTGAACCCTATGATCTAACCATCATATGTCTATATGGCATCCTCTAACAATTCAAGTTGCTTGAAGGTCTTCTAGTAAAGGATGTCCACATAACTACCCTGATCTACCAATGTTTTTTTTTAATGGAGAAATATGACACCTCTATCGTTATCACCATGGGGTCATCATGGCATGGGTCTATGGCTTGGAAGTCATCGTCTGAAAGAGTGATTGGTGGCATTCTCCGCTTTTGTGCGACCATGATGGCATTAGCGGACTACCACATTCAGAGATGCCTCTTTCGAGTTGAGGTCGTTGTTCCTCCGCCTACTAATCCCCCCCAACAATTGTGTTGATTACCCCTCAGAAGTCTTAATCGCTGGTGTTGTCATTTAGACTTTGTGGGCCAGTTTCTTGCCAGCCTTCGATTCGCATCGAGAGGTGTTCCTCCCTTCCGAGGTATTTTCCTTCATCATAATTATTTATTCTAACAAACTAGCACAGATGCCTTGCTTGAATTAACTCTATTTTGTCTTTCAACGCGATACATTCATGCCAAAATGTTCCTACAAGGTCGAATAACCTTCACAAGACCATAGGGACTTCTGAATCTTTGAGTATGCAGGCTTGTCGTTCTCCCTTGATAGGTCTGAATCCTTGAGTATGCAGTGCTTGTTGTGATCGACATTTAAGGGAGTCGACACCTTTATAAGGGGGAGTATAAGATTTATGTCGAGGGCTTCTTCCAAGATTCACATTTGGTTAGCGTTCAACGAGGAGTATCGAATAAACCTTGGTCCACGTGGATCTCTTGATTTTTCCAACGGTTGCCACCTCCCGCCCTCTCAATCAACATTTATCCTTTCTAGGGTTATCTCGACCCTTGCTTGGTTTCGAAACTCTTTGAGTTCTTCTAGTTGCATGAATTTTCCTACTTGACTCCTAAGTTCATCTAGGTCTGTTTTTGGCTTGTTGCAAAGGCTATTCGAGAATAGGCCTAGTCGTAATGCGGCCACCTCGGGGGAGGTTCCTAATATTCAGTGTACCTTACCAAATCTCTCCATAAAGGCTCGTAGTGACTCACCTTGTCTTGTTCGATGTTGACCAACACAAGCAACGTGAGGTGATGTGGGCGATTGGTGGCGAATTGTGTGCCAAACTTTTCCACAAGCTTGTCAAAACAGTCAATGGTATTTGTCGTAGCTGTGTGAACCAACTTAAGGCTAGCCCCTTCAAGGATATGGGGAACACCCGACAAAATATGGCATCATCTGAGGTGTACAATCCATCTTGTGTCACATATATGTTGATGTGCTCGTCGGGGTTCGTTAACCGATCGTACCTTTTGATGGAGAGGTTTTTCCACGTGGTCAATAGGGGGTTTCCATGATCCCATCGACAAATAGGTGTCATTGGTACCCCTTGGTGTACGAGGACAGATGTACAAATGTGTGTTTTCACCCAGGGTTGTTGTATTCCACGAAAGTCCTAAGGCAAATGCTTTGGGACTACTTTATGCCTTCCTCATAATCTTTGCTTCGCGTTGGTTCTGGCACCATCCAAAAGGTTCCTTCCATCTCGAATACCTTTTAGCAGATATGGGCATTCTCCCTTCTTAGGGCGTCCATCTCCTCTGCATTTCTTTCTTGAGGTTTTCCAGTTCCTTCCTCAGCTCCTCTATCAACGATAGCTCATCCACTTATCGTTCGCCATCTTAGGATGGTGGTCTCTTGGTGCGTATCATATTTCTCATGGTTACCATGAGTCTGCGTAAGGATATATACTCAGTCCCACAGTGGACACTAAAATGTTCCTACGAGATCGAATAACCTTCACAAGACCATAGGGACTTCCGAATCTTTGAGTATGCGGGCTTGGTCGTTCTCCGTTGATAGGTCTGGATACGTAGGTAATCTAGTAGGCGACCGAGTGTCCGAGATGCATCAAAATAAGGAGGGGTGCCTACAAAAGACACTCTGACACTCAAATCTGTTGAACATACAAGGATATGAATGTTGAACATACAAGAATATGAAGCTTGTAGATTTTGATGATGATTCAAGAATAAAGGACTTAAAGATTTGAAGACTTGTAATGTTATGTAATAACTCTGTTTTTATGTTTTTGAGTCTGTAATATTAGATTCCAAGATAGCCAGCACATAGACCACTCTATAAAAGCTCTAAAAACTCATTTTTATCAAAAATACACTCGAATAATCGATTAAATGGCAGGATAATCGATTATTACAGAAAGAAAACCATTTTCAGTATTTGCTCTCTGGAATAATCGATTAAATGGCTTGTTAATCGATTAATTGGCCTGTTAATCGATTAAATGGCCTGTTAATCGATTAACTGGTGCTGTTTTTTATCCTCTGCGAGAATGGCTCTGGAATAATCGATTAACACTCAAGATAATCGATTATTTGGGTCTGATATGTGTTTTGAAATTCAAAATTGGACCAAGTTTCGAAAACCCTATTCCCAATTCATCTGTTTTCGAAAATTCCCAATTTCCAAACCCTATTCTCTCTACTTAAGATTCTCTAAGGCTCTCTGCAAATTGAACAACATTTTTCATACAAAAGTTAAGAGTTGTGAGTGCTAGAGAACTGTTTGTAGGGAAGAAAAATGGGCTTTTGAAACCTAGTGTGGGCTAGAAGCGATAAGAATCACTGAGTGGGTTTCTTGGTGGATTGTGTGTTCTGCCATCTCTAGGGAAAGCTGTTCTTCATCCTTTGTGGATTCAAAGGAGGTGTTCATCTCTTGTGTGACTCAAGAGATGTGTATTCTTTATCTTATCTTTTCATTTGTAATCTGTTTGTAAAATTGTGATTATAGTGACAGCGTTAATCCTCTGTTT